TTGAATTAAGTCCCAAAAAACAATTAAAAACATAAAGGTCTCTAGTTTTTGTAAAATTAGTCAAAGACAGGCAAAACAGACAAAACAGTAGTATGCACTTTGTGTACAAGAAAATCAACAATACTTAAAATAAAAAAATGGGGCAACTTCGTCTTTAAAAAGACATTTACAAAGTAAACATAAGGATTCTTATAAAAAAGCCTTGCCGCAGGAAAAAAAAATTAATCCAAATCGAAATAGCTCTGTAACGTATTTTATTGCAACTGAACCCAAAAAATTTTGAATCATTAGTTATATCAAATTTAACTAAATTGGTGTAATTTCACAAAATTAAATATAATAATTTTCATTAAATTTCAAAACCTAGTAATCGATGGTTGTAAGTGGCAATAGGGCTTACACCGTTACGTTGTTTATTATAAGCACACCTCACTTACACATTTATTCATTGATCAAATAAAGTTGTAACTGCGTAAAATCCTTCTCTTTATCCCCTCTCTTACTTCTCACCTTTCGCCTTCTCACCGCGGACCCACAAATAGAGTGTTATGATTGTCGACTTAATCTTGGCGTGAATATTATATTTTATTAATGAATAGCTATATCTCTGATTTCCTTATAAAATATTATATGGATTATCTAGTAGTTACTTTAAATAAATTTTGTAAATTATTGTAAACAGTTAATGTAAATAATTTCATCAAAAGCTTGAAAAAGCTTGAAAGCTTGGTTTGTAAAAGCTTGGTAATTCAAGCTTTTTTTTTAGAAACAGCTTGGCCGGGCTTGAAAAAAAGATGTTAGACTTGGCTTGTTATTTTTAAAAGCTTGGCTTGATTTCAAGCCAAGCTCAAGCCAAGCTTTTAAAAAACAAGCCAAGCCTGTGAATCTCTGGTGCGTTTACACCAGTGTTGCTAGAATATATTTTTGTAATGTACCAGATTTATCTAAAAAATGTACCAGATTTCATAAGAATGTACTAGATTCTATAAAATTACCAGATTTTTCTAAATATTAAGTATGGTCATTAAAGAGCAAAAAAAGGTTTATATTTTATTTTTTAACAAATTTTTCAATAGTATTTTATTCCTCGAGTTTAACATTTTGTAATACTATTTCACCTCGAGCAATTTTCTAATACTATTTTATACTTCGACCAATTTTTAACACCCTTTTATACCTCTCAAGCCATTTTTGAACAATATTTGATCTCTCGTGCAATTTTTAAACAATGTTTTATCTCTCGAGAAATGTCTATTTTATCTCTGAAGTAATTTTTAACAACTATTATAATTTCGCTTGCAATTTTTGACCAATATATTTTACACTTCAAATGGAAACATACGCTGAAAAAAGTATTAGATTTTGTTTCGAGTGTACTAGAGTACCAGATTCTCAGAGAATGTACTAGATCTAGTACAATTGTACTAGACTGGCAACACTGGTTTATATTATATTACACTAATGAATTGTTAGTACATTTACGAAATTTACGTAATGTTTCAGAGAAAATATAGTACCTAATTTAATATTAATTTCTACGCATTGTAAACTGAAAATTATCTATTTTTAAATCTCAAAGTGTAGGGAAGCGGTGCTTCCCCGCTTTCATGGACCGCACGTCTCTATTACTAATACTACTTTGCCACAGTAATATAATAAATTATATACAGTATGGTTCAAATGAAAGGAATAAATTCATTATAATGGAAGCAGCTGGTTTTTCGAAAAAATGCTCTTACTTTGAAATAAAATTTTCGCCACCTAAATCCGGTTTTCGTCAAAAATACGTGTGCACTGCTTGCCTGTTTACTGAATACTCAGAGAAGCAAAAGAGTATTAAACATAGAACATAATAGGCGATAGAAAATAACAAGTCTGTTCGTATTTAAAAATGGCTGCCGACTCACTGTAGCCACCTGATTCACTGTTCCCACAATGACCCTACAATAATTTTAAAGTTTCAATATTAGCAAACCTAGACTAATTAAGTACGCAATATCCCAATAACTTAGACGCAGCGGCAGTTATATTTTTAATATGCCTAGAAAAAGTAAATTTAAAGTCAAATTTAACACAGTCTTCCTAAAATATATCACACCTTTCAAGAGTGTTATTATTGATAGCGTAATCGAATAAATAAGAATAATTTTCACTAGAAAATGGACCAATTTTACATTTGGGAATATTCAATTGCAAAGAATTATCCAGATACCAATGGTTTTAGGGATATCCAAAGTGAATTACAATTTGTAAACATTTTAGGTTTTAAAATTGTACTGTACTTTTTTAAGTCGTCAGGAAAGAAAAGATGTAAACATTCCAAAATAAATAAAAAGGATAATGGTGGTCCTAAGTTGGATCCATGTGGTACACTCATTATCCGGAGACGAAGAAATTGATTGTGTGGGCGGAAATAATACGTAATAGGACCATACTTTTTTAATGAAATCTTGAAAAAATATAACGTCAACTTTGAAGTGCCCTGTATTCTAAAATCTATGTGCATCTAAAATTTGTCGTTGACAAAGTAAGCAGGCCATAAAAGCAATTCAACAGTTGGACATCATCTCGTCACTTAACGGTACCTACCTGTCATAAAACTACATTCCTTATGAAAATATTATCAAAGACGAATGTAGATCATTGAATTGCTTAGAATTTAATTTAATTTATTTTAATTATATTCCAGTCGAGTCGCGCTTAGACAAGGTAAAATCAGAATCGAATGTTGCGTTGCGATAAATGCCATTAAGTGGACAGTAATTTTCTTATCAATATACAACGGCTATGAAATTCTTCATCTCTTTTATTGAAGAGTAAAAGTGCTTGCTGAACGTTTTAACACATAATTGATTTATTATTACATGCGACAACCGAAGATTAGGGATATTTTAAATATTTTATCATCAATATGCTACTTTGTACCAATATTTATACGGGGACGGGCCAATTTTTTTTGAAATTTCACAGTTCATTAGAAAATCAAAAATATTAATACACATATGTAAATAAATACTTTTTATATTGTCATTTAGATACAAACTTAAACCTGCAAAGAACCCTTTGCTTAAAGTTATTTCAAATTTCAATATTGTTTCATGATATAAGCCCATTTAGTTAAAAAAATAATGTAATGATGATGATAACAACCAGGTGTAATACAAAATAGAACATTTCGCATTAAATAATAATGAACATCGTTTACGTGATAACCAGCGCAACGCACGATGTACCTGCTAGTGGAATATACGTTAATTAGTCAATTAATTATTATTAAACCATTTTTCTTAGACATAGTTGCAAAATAGGAAAGCATTTGTTCCGCTTCCCACGTAGAACCAATTTGCAAGTTACGCTAATCAGAAAAAGACCCGTAATTTTCATTAATAAACTAATTTGAAACGCACAGTTTTCTTAGTGTAAATCGAATTGTAAAGATTATCTGATTGGAGTATTGTTTAATAAGAACACGCGATTGCTACGTTTATTATTTCTTTATTTTTTCTCATTAATGGAATTAAAATTATTGTTTCGTATTATTACAATATTACAAACTTAATAAAATGTCCTAATTAATATATAATACTTCTTCCTTATGACATTTTAGAAGAGAGAGGCAATTTTTTGCTTACTAAAATTTTTAATTTCTTTTTGTAATTTGTTGGATACGTTAGGCCGGCCACTCACGTGGCCGGCCCAGTGTTGCCAACCCTACGGATTTTTCCGTAGATCTACGGAGTTTTTACTCTGTTCTCGGATATACGGATATAGAACCCAAATCTACGGATTTTTACAAATAAACCCAAACATGCTCAGTAAAAATTTTAAAACATACTTTTATTGATAAAAGGTAATTAAAATTATTACATAGATATTATTTTCTACCACCAAGAAAATTATACACTAACGATAAGTAAAATTTTCTTCCAATTTATATCGACATCAGCGTCCAGAAAATCATCCTTTTACACTTTCTTCTTCAGAAGAAGATAACTAAGAACTTGATGTTGGTTATTTTTAGGTTTATCCAAAGTATTTTGTTTTATTTTCAGATTTTAGTTCTATTATCAGAATTTAGGTTATTTTATTTTTTAGTTTTTTTTAGGTTATATATTTTTGTTTACAATAATTATAAGCCAATAATCAGTTATTAAAAAAATATATAAGTACCTAATATATGTATTATTGTTTTATTGCAAATACATAAATTTTAGTTTTATGTAAAGTCGACAGGACAAACATCTTTATTTTATTTTAAAAATATTTTAATCAATCATTTTGTAGCAAAGAAAAATCTACGGATTTCTACGGATTTTTCGAACCCTTCCTACGGATTTACGTATCCAAAAAGTTGGCAACACTGGGCCGGCCACTCTCAGTTTTAACTGTGAACTGAGATGTACACAGACGTGCAGTTCAATTGTTCATTCCATAAGTTTTTTTCATGGATTCGAACGAGGACGACGATATGGCCGTGCTCGGTTTTTGCTTTTTGAAATATCATTACAAAAGAGAAAAAGGAAAACGCATAAACTGTGGTGCAAGAAATGGCTACAAAAACGTAATGTATCTTCCCACATAAGTTTATTAAAGTAGTTAAGGGAAGAGCCTTTAGATTTTTTAATTATTTGCACATGACTTAATCAGTTTACGAAAAATTACTCTCTTTGGTTTCTCCTCTGATTATAAAGCAAGATACAGTCATGAGAAAAGCAATATCTCCACACGAAAGATGGTCTGCTACCTTGCGATTTTTAGCAACAGAACGTTCGTATGAGTGTCTCAAATTTTCTACAAGCACTTGGACAAATTATCCCAGAAACATGTGAAGACATATACAAAGTTTGGAGGAGGTATATGCAGGTATGTACATATTTTCAATTTATAATTAATAAGGGAAATTAAAACATTTTTTACTAGAAAACTGCTTTTATTTTTACAAAGAAAACGAATTGAATCAAAGAATCGACTTTAAGTTACATTTTTGTTGCCTAATTCCTTCATACATCACTAAAATGAGAAAAATAAGAGGATGCTGAGCTGTTCTGCGAATAATGATTTTCTGAAAGTGTGGGACTTGGACTCATATTATTAAAATAAGAAGGTGTTGAGTTGTCAGAATAATGAATTTCTGCTAATGAGCTAGGTGTCTTTCTTGACGTTGACGGTGCCGTACTTTGAGTAGAATTATTAATACATGATATTGCTGAGTTATTGTGAGAGTAGAGGGATTGTCCAGATCCGTTGTTTTGAGTTTCGCTGATTGAAGCACCTATAAATGTTGACGGTGTCGTCTGTGTGGTATTAGGATTGTGTCTTGCTGATATATTATAATGATCCATTGGCGATGTAATTAGATAACCCATTTCAGCCTCAAATAGCACGTCATTTGTTGTTTTTTCCGCAATGAGGGCCTGACGTTTTCCTAGACTTCTCAATCTCACAGCAGCTGTTTTTCCTATCAGATCATAACGGTCAGGTTGTTCCCTTGGTGCTTTAAAGTGGTCGCGCTTTGTAGTAAGTACTTCTGTTGACAGATCATCATTAATCTTTCTTTTTTTATTCAAACCAGGCCTTGAAATTGGCGTCCTTTGTTGTTTTTCTGGAACATTCTCAGTTGCTGATGTAGACCCCTTAACATCAACATCACCGTTTACATCTTTTTCAACTGGAAGTGGATTGTCAGCCGATTCCTATACAATAATGAGATATTGTTGAAATATTAAAAAACATAAAAAACACACATTTTAACATTAAATTTATCGTTTCCTGCTTGTTTTAGTTTTCAAAGTCAGAAAAAACATGGAAGGAGATTGCAACTTTGTTTGAGGAAAGATGGCATTTCCCACACTGCATCGGTGGAATGGATGGCAAACACATTGATATAATTCCACCTGCTAACTTTAGATCTTATTATTATAATTACAAAGGCAAACACAGTATGGTTCTTCTAGCAATAGTTGACGCAAAATACCGATCCATTCTGGTGGATTTTGGAACAAATGGACGAATTTCCGATGGCGGTGTTCTTAAGAACACATCTTTTTTTTGAAAGGCTGGTGAACAAGCGTTTAAATATTCCTCAGTCTGACGATGTCCTGATCATGCAGGAAATAAAAAAGGTCATATTACCAAAGCACTTGCTTGTAAATACTGTCTGCAGATGTTCCAGACTTCTTTGATGCCCTAACTTTCTTTTGCTCTTTGCAAAAAGCTGTTTATTTTTGCTAAGACACTCTTTTTTTGTGGCACCAAGTTCTAATACCCCAACTTTTTGGCCAATGTATTGTATGTAGTATCCTTCTTTGCGCGATCGTGCTAATCGGCAGATTTAACTTGTCATAAGTAATGTTCCGATCGATATAACTCGATAAAGTCAACCATAAATTGGTTTGGTTTTTTAGACATTTTACTTTCTAAACAGGCAATCGGCAGAAACTAAACTGAGTAGTATGGAAATGGCAGTTCCAACCGCCACTATTGGACTGTGACTAAAATAGCCATTAACGTACAGTTTTAACTGTCAGTTTTAATGGTACAGTTAAAAGTGACAGTTTTAACTGCACGTGAGTGGCCGGCCTTATAGAATTTCTAATAGCTATTTGGCAAATAAAAAGTTGTACAAAACCATGGCTCGTGCTCATAATTGATCGCACTTATCTAGCTAGGCAGATCCGGATTCAAACATTTTTAATCTCCTTTTTTGTTTCTTCTTCTTCTTCTTTTTCTTCTTCTTCTTTTAAATCTATTGTTGACTTTTTACCAATTTTAACACTGTACTCTTAATATATAATAACTTTCTTAATTTTCTTTTGCCAATCCAATACCGAAATATTTGCTAGCTTTTGATTTATTAGTTCTATTACCTTAACATCAAATTGGGATTTACGGTCATTCAACGTATTCTCTTTTTTAGTTGGCCACAAATCAGTTCAAAATGATTAAAAACGCAAAAATATGGAGGTAATCTTAAAGCTTTTAAAGTTTTCTTTGACGATCTCGTCTATAACGTACCTTTTAGGAAATGTCTTAGTAGCAAATACTTCAAGTAGTTGTTATTTCTCTTGAAAATACAGGTCATGGGCACTTAAAAAGTCTTTAGTTGGCTCTTTATTTCAAGACTTTGTTGGAAAATTCCAATTTTAGGAACGTTATGTGTGTAGTACCAACTCTAATCCAAATAATAAATTGTGTTATTTTTGTTTCTGAAATATTCAAGTAATCATTTTTCCAATTTGTTATTCTTTGCGTTTCCATTATTGCACACCGCTTATCAATAGTTTTGTAATTAAAAACCGGTTTTTTTAATCTATGTGTGTACAAACAATAAGGTATGCTCTCTTAAGGTGGAAAGGACCTTCATCCTCGTCTTTATTTTCACCTTCTTATCTTCCTCCCCCCAAGGGAGCAGTAAAACAGCATTCCCTCCGAACATTCCACCAAGTTCATTTGTGGCTGGAAACTAACCTGCTTCCTCAGATGTATGGGTCGAAGATTGAGAACAACTGCCTGGTCCGAGTGCACAGTGAGTTAGCAGCTGCACCGGAGGAGATTCTGAATATGATTTTCTGCCGATGCATGAAAGACTGCGCAAGCGCGAAGTGTGGCTAGAAAAAAGCAAACCTCAAATGTTCCACAACATACCAAAATTGCCAGGGGAACTGCCTGAATAGGGTCCCTCAAATTGACTTCGAAAATGAAGAATAACAGAAGGATTCTATGACCGTTTTTCAACAAGGGTCTGATAGCGAAGATATTGGCAATAAAAAAGAAGACGAGGATGAAGGTCTTCCCAAAGGGAGCAAGAACTTGTCTCAATGTAACATACTGTTGTAATGTTTAATGTTAAGTCACGTTTCTATGTCAATAAAAGTTGTTTTCAATTAATGGTTGTGATTTATAAAACCATCCCACTGTCTTAAAGACACTCATACATGACGAAACTTGGTCATAGCAACATATTTTTCCATTAAAATGGTCTAGATATTCTTTAATTAAGTGTGAGGAACTTGGCTAGAGGGCCCACTTCTGTATATTCTAAAATGAGTATCTGTGCTATTTATATGTCCAGTACTCACTATAAATACATAATAGTACATATTTCAGCCAACACGTTGACTGGGAATGGTGAGAAATTGGAAGATTCATTAGTCGATAGTTGTCGCAAAACTTGCTTTAAACATTTATAGGAAAATAGATAAAATAGTAAAGTAATATATATTGTTAAAGGGAATTCAATTCTCTACAACCTTATTGTGAGCATTTATTTTTTGGGTGCATCTTTGAAGAGTTATCCGCTCAAAAAGAGCAAAATATGTAAGGAAAAAATGTTTTTTTAACCGACTTTAAAAAAGGAGGAGGTTATCAATTCGTCGCGATATTTTTTTTTTTATGTATGTTCAGCGATTATTCTTTAACACGGTGTCCGATTTCAATGATTCTTTTTTTGTTGGAAAGGGGGTATTTCAGGGGTGGTCCCATATAAATTTAGTCAAAATCTAATAATTGGGTCCATGAGAAAATCCTCAAACTCTTCATTTTTTATGTATGTTCAGCGATAATTTTTTAACACGGTGTCCGATTTCAATAAATTTTTACTTTCCTATCTGTATACAGATATAAGGAAAGTATAGGAATCATGATTTTTTTCGACCTCGAGTTTTCGACGGATTTTTACGTTTTGAGGTCCCCTGAATCCGTTTTGACTATTTTCGCGATGATGTCTGTGTGTGTGTGTGTGTGTGTGTGTGTCTGTGTGTGTGTGTCTGTGTGTGTGTGTGTGTGTGTGTGTGTGTCTGTATAACGCATAACTCATGAACCGATACACGGAAAAATACCAAATTTCAAACTTAAGCTTTATTCCAGCGTCTAATGAGCTGATTGGATTTTGGGCAGAGTCGGAACATCTGGGGGGGTACTTTATAGGTGGTGATTTTTATATTTTATGAAATATATCTGTTATTTACGTTTGGGGAAGAAAATGTTTTAAATAAAAGTTACTTCTTATTTTATGGTCTATAATTTTTGTTATTTACAAAATTTTCCTAAAATGGTCCGTATTCGAGAAATTTGACAAAATGTAAAAAAATATTTTTTTTTATAAAAATTGTTCAAACAAAAGTTGTTTGTAATATAATTCTCTATAATTTTTGTCCCATAGATAATTTCTCTAAAATGGACTGTATTCGAGATATTTGAGAAAATGTGTAAATTTCGAAATTTGAAGAAAACTCCAAAACGGATAAAGAAAAAATCAATAAATTTTAAACATAAGTTTTATTTCGGCCTGACGTGAAATGATTAGATTTTGGACAAAGTCGGAACATCTGGGGGGGTACTTTATGGGAGGCCCGTTTTTATATTTTATGGAATATATCTGTTATTTATGTTTGGAGAAGAAAATTGTTCAAATAAAAGTTACTTCTCATATTATTATCTATAATTTTTGCCTTATGTAAAAATTTCCTGAAATGGTCCGTATTCGAGAAATTTGACAAAATGTGCAAAATTCTGATTTTTATGAAAATTGTTGAAATAAAAGTTGTTTGCGATATCGATCTCTATAATATTTGTTCATACATGATTTTTTTTAAATGGACCGTAATGGAAAAATTGTAGGAAAAGTGCTAAATTTAAATTTTTCAGTATTTTCATTTTCAATGAATATCTATAGAAAAATGTTTCGCGGTAGATGTATGTGGACAATGTATATATTTAGTTTATCCTCTAAACATTTATAGAGATGCTGCAATAGGTTGTACACAATAAACGGAAAAAGCCTGTAATAACTAGATAGGAAAGTCATGTGTTGGACACATCAGATTTTTTTACTTTCCTATCTGTATACAGATATAAGGAAAGTATAGGAATCATGATTTTTTTCGACCTCGAGTTTTCGACGGATTTTTACGTTTTGAGGTCCCCTGAATCCGTTTTGACTATTTTCGCGATGATGTCTGTGTGTGTGTGTGTGTGTCTGTGTGTGTGTCTGTGTGTGTGTGTGTGTGTCTGTATAACGCATAACTCATGAACCGATACACGGAAAAATACCAAATTTCAAACTTAAGCTTTATTCCAGCGTCTAATGAGCTGATTGGATTTTGGGCAGAGTCGGAACATCTGGGGGGGTACTTTATGGGTGGTGATTTTTATATTTTATGAAATATATCTGTTATTTACGTTTGGGGAAGAAAATGTTTTAAATAAAAGTTACTTCTTATTTTATGATCTATAATTTTTGTTATTTACAAAATTTTCCTAAAATGGTCCGTATTCGAGAAATTTGACAAAATGTAAAAAAATATTTTTTTTTATAAAAATTGTTCAAACAAAAGTTGTTTGTAATATAATTCTCTATAATTTTTGTCCCATAGATAATTTCTCTAAAATGGACTGTATTCGAGATATTTGAGAAAATGTGTAAATTTCGAAATTTGAAGAAAACTCCAAAACGGATAAAGAAAAAATCAATAAATTTTAAACATAAGTTTTATTTCGGCCTGACGTGAAATGATTAGATTTTGGACAAAGTCGGAACATCTGGGGGGGTACTTTATGGGAGGCCGTTTTTATATTTTATGGAATATATCTGTTATTTATGTTTGGAGAAGAAAATTGTTCAAATAAAAGTTAC